AAGATAGTTAACATTTATGGACCTTCAGAAAGGGATGACTCAACTTTCTTTAATGAGCTGTTTGAGTTAATAGATACAAATAACCAAGATCATTTGTTGATATGTGGAGATTGGAATTTAACTTTAAATCCAGAACTTGATACTTACAATTATAGTGAGAGGGATAGACGAGTCAATTCTCGTAAATTAATAGAAAATAAATGTGCTGAGCTTGAACTACATGATGTGTGGCGGCAAATCAATGGAAACAAAAAGCAATACACTTGGAGGAGAAGCAACCCGCTAAAATGCGCTAGGCTCGATTTTTTCCTTGTATCAGAGTCAGTTTTAAACAAAACAGTTGAATGCAGCATTCTCCCAGCGTATAGGTCTGACCATTCTCGTGTGTCACTGGGTTTGAAATTCAGTTCTGAGGCTCGAGGTAGAGGTTTTTGGAAATTAAATTGCTCCCTCCTAATGGACTTGGAGTACTTGAACATGGTTAAAAGAGTAATACAAGACACAGTCGATAGCTATGCATGCCTTGTTTATTCTGAACCTTACGTTAACCCGCGCACCGACGGGGGTCTGCGCCAACTTCGCACCGACGGGGGGGGGCGGATGACCGCCCCCCCCTGAGATCTCGAGAACGAAGCAAGATAGCGACAAGCGGTAAACGGCATCGGATACGCACGGCCAAGATCTACAATTTTTACTAAGGTCATTTTCAGGTCAGGTCAAAGATGACGTCACAGGGGTCGAAAAAGTCAAAATGGCGGCGCTAGATATGGAGAGAGTTTTTTCTCGAATAACTTTCGAATTAGTCAAGATAGGAACAAACTAAGGGCATCATCGTGATCCTCTCGTCAATCCGCATCGAATGATATATATGTTGACCTCGAAAGGTCAAGGTCAAAGGTTGACCTCAGGTCACGTGACCTCGAGGTCATCATGTATATCATTCGATGCGTCTTGACGAGCTGAACACAATGAGACCATCCACGCGTCTGTATCTTGTTCCTGTACGGAGTTATTGGCCAAAAACCTTTGGTGACCTTTGATGACGTCACATGACCTCACAGTTGCCCAACAGCAAAACAGACCTCAAGGTAGTGAAGGTTGATCGTATATGAAGTCATGTATGGTATATGGGGCCATTCCGACCTGTTTTAGTGGTAAAAACAGGGAGTTGATTTTTCCCCCATTGACTTATAATGGGGAGGTCGCGAAATTGACCTGACCTTAGGTCACCGATATCAAAATTCCGAGATATACAAATTGTAGCTACCAATGACCTAATAATATCCTGCGACTTTCAAAGGCCTCCGACATCTACTGTTGCTCTGGCACGGTGACAAAGTTGCAAAAAAGTGACTTGAGGTTGGGTCATTCAAAGTGACCTGGTGACCTGACCTTAAAAGGTAGGAGGTTCAAACTTGCACACCATGTGTAAAATTGATGAGGTTATAGTCATACTAAATTTCGCGGCGCTACGCGCCGCGGTTTTTCCGCTATTCGCGAAAAACCTCAGGGGGGGGCGGATATCCGCCCCCCCCCCGTCGGTGCGCGGGTTAAAGACATTGAAGAACGAAATCGGATACAGTTCACAATTAGTGATGGCCTATTCCTGGAAACTCTACTGATGACCATCAGATCAAAAACCCTAACTTTCTCCATAAGAAAGAAAAGATTAAGAACAGAAAAGGAAAGGGCCCTGTTAAATGAGCTACAATATTTAGAATCTCTGCCTCAGCCATCAGCAAGAGACAATGAGCTGATAGGAGAGAAGCAGGCCGAACTCCAGGAATTAAGAAAGCCTGAAAACGAGGGTAGAATAATTCGGTCTAGAGTGAAGTGGTATGAAGAGGGGGAGAAAAGTTCGTCAAGCTATTTTCTAAGACTAGAAAAGCGAAATTATGAATGCAAGGTAATACCTAGTCTAAAGATAGGTGAGGAAGTTGTGTACCAGTCGGATGAAATTATTTCGGCGCTAGAGCAGCATTACCAGGAACTCTTTATGCAAAACACGGGCTACTCAAGGGATAGCATGACTGACTATTTACAAAGCGTTTCGCTGCCGAGACTATCGGATGCGCAATCTAGAATGTTAGAAAAGGACCTGACGATTAATGAAATAGGAGAGACTTTGATGGGGTTGAAAAACAACAGAACTCCAGGATCAGATGGTTTCCCTTACGAGTTTTTCAAGATTTTTTGGCGTGAGTTAAAATATTTTGTGCTTAGATCACTAAATGAAGGTATAAAAACGGGAAAGCTAACAATCACTCAGAGGGAAGGTATTATAACCTTGGTACCCAAGCCCACAAAGGAACGAAACTTGATCTCTAGTTGGAGACCTATAACTCTATTGAATTCAACGTATAAGATTCTTTCAGCAACAATTGCTAATAGGTTAAAAAAGGTATTAAACACAATAATACACCCAGATCAAACAGCATTTTTAAAAAATAGGTTTATAGGGGAGAATACAAGGATAGTTTATGACATTTTGAGAGACACTCATCGCAGAGAGGAAAGGGGACTTTTACTGTCAGTGGATTTTAAAACTGCGTTTGACGTGATGAGCTGGCAATTTATCGAGCAATGCCTGAACAAATTCAATTTTGGGAAAAAATTCATAGACATGTTCTTGTGTTTGCATAACGATATCTTCTCACGCCTGATATATAATGGACATGCATCAAAAGGGGTGATACGGCTAGAAAGGGGATGTAGACAGGGCGATCCGATATCGTGCTATTTTTTTATTATAGGAGCGGAAGTGTTAGCCGCGAAAATAAGGCAGAACAAAGACATTACAGGAATCGTGACAAATAGTTCACACGTTAAGATAGTCCAATACGCGGACGATACGACATTCTTCCTCGATGGTTCGGAGAAAAGCCTAAGGGCTGTTTTCGGAGAGCTGGGATGGTATGCAAAATTTTCAGGATTACATCCTAACGTATCCAAGTCAAACGCCATGTGGCTAGGAAATATGGCCTTCTCAGACACGACAATCTGTCAAGATATTGCTCTGAACTGGGGAACAAGAATTAAACTGTTAGGAATAGTGTTTACGCCTTTCTGTTCAAACATAGTAGAACAAAATCTTACGTTGAAGAGAGATGCAATTCTTAGGATTATTGGAATGTGGCAAACCAGAAATCTTTCACTGATGGGCAAGATCACTATCTTTAAAACTCTGCTATTATCTCAAATCACGCACGTATTATACTCTCTTCCGAGTCCGAGTGGCGACCTTATAGGTGAGCTAAATAAAATATTTTTCACGTTTGTATGGGGTTCTAAAAGAAATCCACTTAAGAGAGCGAGACTTTGCCAAACTGTTGAAAAAGGTGGCTTAGGCATGATTGATCTCAGCAGCTATATAATGTCTTTGAAGCTAGTTTGGATTAGGAGACTAGTTTCGGAAAAAAATGGAACATGGCATTCGCTTGTGCCGGAAGATATAAAGAAAGAATTCGTTTGGGATTATGGAGTCAGAGCATTAAAGCAAGTTGTGAATAAAGTCGAGAACCCCTTCTGGAAGGATGTATTATCGGCTTGGATGATCTTCACAAAAGCATTTCATATAATGGAAGAGCAAATACACTGTGAAAACATTTTCCACTCGGACTTTACTAAATTTAAAACAAAGGAATATGAAAGTTGGAAGAGAAAAGGTATACGACGTATTGGTGATCTTTTTGAAGGTCATAAATTAATGACATGGAGAAGATTTAAGGAGTTTTACCGCATCAATTGCAACTTTCTAGAGTACGTCGGACTAATACATAGTCTGCCAAGGCATCTACAGAAGAATCAGCCTGAAGTGTGGAAGTATGAACAGCCTTCAATATCAGCACGAATAAGGTATATTTTGAATAATAAGGCGTTCACTAATTTGTTTGCTGAAAGTTTGATGCAGAATAACGGGGGTAAGAAGGATATCAACAGAATAAAAAGTAAGTGGATACGAGATATGAATCATTACGAGCAGTTTTCGGTACTGTCAGTAAAGCGTTGCGTTGTATCAACGAAATATGTAAGTTTTCAATATAGATTAGTGATGCGCGTGCTTACGACAAATACATTCTTGAGTTTGATAAACATAAAGGAAAATGACAAATGCTCCTTTTGTGGCATTGAAGCGGAATCATTGATTCATCTATTTCTCAATTGCGAACATATAGTAAGCTTTTGGAATAAAATATCGGAGAGCCTACAAAGGATTGGTATGAGCGAGATATCAAAGAAACAAAAAATTTTTGGGGACAACGATAATTTACTTATTACCCATATCACTACCTTGGCAAAATATTATATTTATCAATGTAAATGGGGCGAAACAAAGCCTAGTTTTGTTCAGTTCATGAACCGTTTGAAACAAGATATGGAAACTGAGCATTACATTGCTAAAAAGAATGACAAGGAGGAGTGTTTCCATAAGAAATGGGCTATGATGAGACCTTTGCAAAGGTAAAAGTGACTAATGAACATTAATCAGCCACCGCTCCTATGACCCATCCGGGCCAACCCGGGACCGGTCTCTTCGACTGGGGCCGGTCGGCCGGCCGGGCGTGCGGGGCGCCGGCCCTACAAGTCGACGGCTCGCACGCCCGGCCGGTGGATAGGGGGAGCCGCCCGCGATACCGTTCGCCGGGCGGCTCGGGCGGTGGCTGATGGCCCTTGTGGGACTGTGTAAAATATGGATGTGAGCGGACTGTTTGAGTGTTCTGTTTGTCAAGTGGCTATGTTAATAAACGTCTGAAAAAAAAAATTAAAAAAAAACATTTGCAATAGTCCCGCGTGCAATAGTCCCGTGTCGTTTCTCTGATCCGCTCCATCCCTTGAAAGCCCCCCCCCCCCCACCGCCTTCTCATATGCATAGCAATCAGTAGCCGCTGCCCGGCCGGCCATAGACGAAAAGAGATGACCGCTAAAATAGTAATGCCTCGGACCCGTAGTCATGGCAACCATGACCAACGAAGCCGCCGCCGCCGCTCTGGTGCGACGCACCGCCGCCGACGGTCACCGCGTCGGCTGCGACGAGACGACGGCACGTGGCGCTCAGATCCGCGTCGGCACGTGCCGCGCTCGTGCGATCGGCGGCGGCACGTGTGCAGGTGCCGCGGGGCAGGCAGGGTGCCGCCACGGACCAACACTTGTCGGACTATCTGGTGTCGTCATGGCAACGGAGCCAGGTGTGGCAGCGGGCGAGAGGCGACGCGTCGAGACCGACGGCTTTTCACAGTGGTGGCCGCGCCGGCGACGGGAGTGATAAGCGCCACGGATTTAACGTATCGTGGACGGCACGTGACACGGACGGCACGGGTGACGAGTGACACGGATCACGGACGATAGGAACGTCACGGAACTGGACAGTGCGAGTGGTACAGACTGTTCTGGAGTTACGAAGTGGTACTGGAAAAGATAGAGGATACTTCAGATTGTGGACAGGATACATTCAGAAAGGTGAGTCAGTCTTTATCTGCATAAAAACAAAAATGCTAAAGAAAGAGAAGACTGTGAAAAGGTTTTGGTTTGACTGCATCGTGAGGCGATCTATATCTTACCTTTTACTCCGCTCGTTATGAGATGTTGCCACTGAATGCTGATATTTAAGACAGGCGAAAGCATTTATACCTAATGGTTAAGTATGCCACTCAAATTCTATATGTTATGTTGCCTGCCCCTATGATACAATGTAGATCATTTTAAAAAATTTAGCTACAGATGATAAGTCTGGTTGATTGATCAATGGCAATGTCGCGGTTTGGGGATGAAGCTGCGAATAGCTTAGAAAAGTGATACATTAGTTCCGTTCGAAGGACTGCTTCATACAATGGTGGGAACAGAGCTAGTTGGTTTTGCATTTCTGCTTGTAGCAGCCTTGGTCTGTTGTGCTACGCAGTTGAATTTCGCAGGACAAGGTACCGTACACACATGATATCAGGCAGGTGAGTTTCCAGACGAGTTATCTCAGTTTATTGAGCTTCGGCACTTCCGTTTATGAATGTTGTTACATTATTTCCAGAGCGATTGACCCTTTCAAAAGGTTGATATTTACTGCTTAATATCTCTCATTTAGAAAAGAAAATTGATACTATAGTTGTAGCTAGCTTTAGCCAGACTTGTAAACGACTCAAATTTTTTTTGAGTCGATTCTTTGTTTGAGTCTGGAAATTTGAATCGATTCATCAAACGACTCATGATGTTAAATTTAATTGATTCGAATCAACTCATGACTCATCAAGTTCCTCGATAAAATGATTCGAATCAACTCATGACTCGAGCAACTAGCCAATGGAATGATTTGAATCAACTCATGACTCACACATTTTGATGAATCGATTCAAATCAACTCATGACTCACACGACATTTTTATTGAACTTATTTCATTCAACCCATGACTCACTATAGGCATTTGTTGATTATTTGACTCAAAGCTATGATAAAATGAATATGCCGCATACCACAATTGTATTAAGCAGCATAGTAGGTAGCCTTGACCAAAGATTCAAGCAGCTACCTAGTAGGACTAGGTACATAGGTACCTACCTCACACCTACCTATCTTCAACACTCAACAGTCAACAGTGCAATGTCAGATAAATTTGTAAGTAACTCTGAGAGACAATTATAATATAAGTAAGGACTAAGGAGTAGCATAGTAACCTATCTCTTATTATTACCTAGAAAGTCTTATTTGAAAATTCAAAAGCACAAGTTCCGAGAGGCATTCATGTTTTTTTTAATCAAACCTTTTCTACATGATAATGAGAGAAATGTTACTACTTCTTACTTATCAAATAAGATTATTCAAACAGTACAAACTCAAAAATAGGATTAATCCCACCTGTGAAACATTCAGCATCACCATCAGCAGGGACTCCATGGGCCACGAGGGCATGTGAGTGGCTCAGGCCTCAGAATCAGATATGATCTTGAGTTGAGACTCATTGAAAGTAGTTAATGTAGGTATACAATATACATTCTCCAAACGGCACCTAGTTTAGCAGTGCCAACTGGCTGCGGACAAGGAATATAAAAAAATATTGTTAGTCTACCAAATATTGTTAGTCTACAATTTTAGATTAAAAATGACGTCATTGAATATTAATCGATATCAGGAGCACCGCAGCACTGACCAAGTGGCTCTTTTGGTAAAAATAAATTGTCATTGGTGCAATTCGGGCAACGTCATCCGGCCAATTTGTCACGAGATTCAGACGTGAAAGTTATCAACTGCGCCATTAATGTAGTTTTCTTAAAACATACTATAACTTTCACATTCTATTCTCGAATTCATGACGTCACTCATAGTACCTACATATTTTAGGCGAATGTAGATCGCTGAGGAAATATTTCAAAGCCCCTCCTTTACATTATTCTGAAGATTCTATGATGTCATAAAACAAGTTTCTTTTTAAACTTCTATTTCATGGGAAAATGTGCATTTTGTGGTTTATTGGCAGTTGAGCATCGCAACTTTGCGGTTTATAGGTGAGTTTATTTGTATTATAGCATAGCCTATAGGTAGTTTATAGGCTATAGGTAGTTTGGGCGTATTTGACTCTATAGACGCCCAAACTCTTATGCTGTTGATTGATTATTGGGACCAAATTGGGACTGGGAGAAGGGGAGGCAGCCGCAGGTGTCAATTCTGACTTCTGACATGTAAAATGTAGGTACCTAGGTAGTGTAGCAGGCACTTGGTTTGGTAAGACTAAGTACCTACCAACTGCCAAATGCTTTTGGCTCATTAGGCGCCTGTGCCTGAGCCTCTGAGGCTCTTGTAAGCCTGAAATATGGAGTTAAGTGATGGCTAAAGCTGAGGGGGTGATCTAGCATTGATTATTAGGGTGTTGATGGTGACTTGTAAACGACTCAAATTTTTTTTGAGTCGATTCTTTGTTTGAGTCTAAAAATTTGAATCGATTCATCAAATGACTCATGATGTTAAATTTAATTGATTCGAATCAACTCATGACTCATCAAGTTCCTCGATGAAGTGATTCGAATCAACTCATGACTCATCGAAAAACGGTTTGATTCTGAGTCGATTCACGAATCAACTCAGAGTCGTTTACAAGTCTGGCTTTAGCTGAGCGTCTTAAAATCAACACAGCAAGGCATTGGTGTGAAGTGTGCATAAGCTTGAGTATTTCCGGCCTTATCGGACTCGACGGACACCGGCGCCGTGCCGCTCTCAACAGGTTTTAGTTGGCTAACCGTGTGGGTCTTCTGATGTCGCTGATGAAAAAGAAAAATAAGAATACTGTAATTCAATCCCTCCTGAACGTAACTTCACTGAATGGCAGTTTTAACTCCCTTTGCGTTATACGATTTCGCTAAGAAGATAAACTTAAATTTGGGACATCATGAGGTCTCGTCGACTGGCGAAGTGCCTCCAGAGCTAGCGACAAGTGAGCCAAACCCACTTCTCCGAAGCAACGGGGAAATGTGCCACGGACCAGGAAACTGAAGCAGCCCCTGATCGGATCGGCGCCTGTCCTCTGTCTTTTCTTACCTCACTCCATCACGAACGACCCTAAATATGGCCAGACGTCGCGTGCCCAGTGCGTGCCGCTGATACTTCTCCTTTCTTTTGCGGTTGTAGGAAACTTGGTCATCGCACCGGCGTACGAGCGAGAGATTGCCGATAGCCTCGTGCTGCTGCTCGGATTGTGACTCGCTATCTGCACACCCGGGCACAGGTTGAGGACAGGACAGGAGCGAGGACAGTTGTCCTCCTCGTTTGAAGATAACAATCTAACGCTTCAATGGCAAGAATGGGAGAGTGAGATGAAAATAAAACTAAAGTTGGAATTAAGTTAACAACTTAGGCGCTGATTTTGCGTATTGTTGTTAAGCTTTGACATGTTTCACATGAAAAAGATATATCTAAAACACTGTTTTCCATAATGGAAGCATGCAAATGGAAGCATATATCAAACAGCTGGGGCGTTAGCAGTTGCGAACACCTTTTACCTGTCTTGATGCAATTTATAGCTGAGAAAGGAGGCGTTGGTTGAGTCTGCTTAGAAATTGTTTCCTAGTATTCAAAAACAAATGTTTGGCTAACCTTTTCGAGTTACTAATGCCCCTGTGTGCAAAGGCTTTGAAGTTGATGCCAATATTTTTATTCAGAATGAGCATATTCCCATTATAATGTTGATATAGTCGCTATCTGATTATGATAAACCAAAGTGCACCACTAACACCACTCAAACAACTGCATCCGCATTCCAACCTAACACTACCAGCAACATAAAAGTCATTTCATGCTTTTCGAGTCTATGGACGTTGAGATATTATAAGCAAGTCATTTTAATAGTCAGGTAAAGCTTCTTAATACCCTCTAGGCACTACATATATAAGCCAGTCAGCAGTCTAACAGAGGAAATCCACCCATCATATTTGCAGGGGCAAATGGACTTTATGAAACGCTACCGTGACGGGAGATGCCACAGGATAGTGTAGAGGCAATCGAAGATGCCGTGTGGTGATTACTTTATCCAATATCGCTTTCGTTTATGAAACAAAATAAAGCGATGCCAGTCAAACCTTTTTAGAAAATGAGATAACATTATCCTGGAGGCAATCCGGTAATAAAACATCAAAAGTTGTTTATTAGGGTTAACCCGGCAGTTGCTGGGGTATTCCGCCACCCACCGTTTGCTGGGGGGGGGGGGGGGGGGGGCGTTAAACGCCCCCAGCCGATAACTCGAGAACCAACAGGCGCAGCGAAACGCACGAGGCGGCAAACGAAAGAGCGCGACGAGACGCTTCAGATGAGTACTTTAAAGTTGAATTTTGAGGTCACAGGTCGGGTCAAGGTCAGGTCAAACACCTGAAATCGGGCTTTCAGTAGCATGGACTTCAGAGCTTCGCAATGGGCGCCTCTCGTCATGAACTCTGTCAAAACGGCGCACAATCCTTTATATAAGGCCTACAAGAGTGTCAGTTCCATGTAGGGGTCAGTCAAGCATAGGTCAGGTTCAAGGTCAGGTCAACCGGGTAGGCACATCTCCCCGAAAAGCAAAACTGATATTCGCAGCCTGTGACACAAGTTTTATTGGTAGTTTTGGGCGTAGAACACGATGGTGACATTCATTTTATCATATGTGTACGTGTTTGGTTCAAATAGTTAAATTTATGAAATGCATGTATCATGGTCGTGAAGCAGTCACGAGAAATTGCCAAGATTCAGTTCAAGATTTTGGAAAATGCGGAACAATAATCAATAATCGAAGATAGCCATTTGATTGTTCATGGTATTGGCAGTCTAATGGCGTTTACGGCATGTCTGTATGTCTATTCTGTGATTTTGTATGATGTTTTGAACATATGCCGTTTTTGGTCCAAAACTCAGAAATCATGACGTCACTAAAACCTCGATATCTCAAAAAATTTCCGACCGATATTTTTGAAACTTTGTCACAATAAACTTCAATCAATTTTCTACAGGC